GATATTCAAGGGCTTGTATTTCCTTTCTTGATGTCCTTGATAGAGGGTTGCTGCTCAGATTGAAGCTACAAAACCAAGAGTTCAAAGTGGTGAAGTTGAAATCACCCCTTCTTAAACTTTACGGACGCCATCACGAGTTGGTTGACCGTTATGGAATAATACCTGTTTCACAGATGACGACGGCTATGTTCCAATTGTCGTAACTACAATGCCGTCCCCTTTTCCCCGAATGTGACCTACCGAATTAGACTTATCACCGGGTTTGAACTTAAACGAGCAACACAACGGGTGCCACATGTGTAGCAGGATGTGCTTATCCTTCCGGAGCACCAGAGATCACCCCCATTGACCAATGAACCATCATCGAAAATGAGGTCAAGGTGATATGAACCTTGCCAGACAGACATGTACGCCTTACAATCGTCCAATACACCAAATATAATTGACCTATTGGTTGACAGTATCTGATAAACTGACAAAACCGCGAAAACTTATCATTAACCAATGGACAAAGAAAATGAGGTCAATGTCAAATGAAACTTGCTAGTCAGACATATTCACCTCACAATCAATCCATACCTCGAATATAGTTGCCCTATTGCTTAAAGTATCTGAGAAATAGACCATACCACAAAAACTAAACCTTGTCTAATGAACCATGAAATTGAGGTCAAGGCCAGGTGAAACCTGCCAGTCTGACATATACACCTTACAATCATTCCATACATCAAATATAGTTGACCTATTTCTTATAGTATCGATGAGATACGGTATTCATCTTGATCATTGATCCATGAAATGAGGTGGAGGTCAAGTGAACCCTAGCTGACGTTGCAAGGTACCCATATACCAAATATAGTTATCCTACAGCTAGCTCATAAGGGATGCCATAGAAATGGTGCCGCGCATGATTTTCAGAATTTTGTTATATTTTCGATTTTAAGTAATGGTAGCGACCATGTTAGAATGTGGTTAGGATCCTCAAACCTATTTCTTAAAGAGGCAGCGGATTTGTAATAACATAAGCAACTCGACGGGTGCCACATGTGGAGCAGGATCTGCTTACCCTTCCGGAGCACCTGAGATCACCCCCAGTTTTTGGTGGGGTTCGTGTTGCTTAGTCTTTAGTTTTCTATGTTGTGTCATCTGTACTATTATTTGTCTGTTTGTCTTTTTATTTTTGGCCATGACGTTGTCAGTTTGTTTTCGATCTATGAGTTTGACTGTCCCTCTGGTATCTTTCGTCCCTCTTTTACGACGACCAGCAGATCATTCCAAGTGATAATAAGTCACACTTTTTCATTTGGACAGATGAACTATACTTTCGAGAGTCTGAATCGTGATAATAAGTCACACTGGTTCATTTTGACAGGTAAACTATACTTTCGAGAGTCGACTGAATCGTGATAATAAGTCACACTGGTTCATTTGGACAGATGAGCTTTACTTTCGAGTCTGAATCGTGATAATAAGTCACACTACATGGTTCATTTGGACAGATGAGCTATACTTTCGAGTCAGAATCGTGATAATAAGTCACACTGGTTCATTTGGACAGATGAGCTATACTTTCGAGTCTGAATCATTCTTCTTATTTAATTACCTAAAGCGACTGGCTGCCTTATCAAAAAATATGCAGTCAATGTCATGTGGCTGTCATGGATATCTTCAGTAGTTCCACAAGCACTTGTCTTTGAAAAAAATAATTTCATTTATACCTTGATATATTTGAAGGTATATACTAGTATGAAAACAAAATTTCAGCGACAAGTGGCTATGAGTAGTTCTTAGGAGATCCTACCTACATTTGTATCATTTCCCGGACGCTTGGTTGCAATTCCTCATTTTGTTCACTGGTGGAGAGTTGTCTCATTGGCAATCATACCACATCACATCTTATTTTTATATTTATAGTAATGGCAGCTATACTGGTCAATTTTAGGTATATTTGACAATTTCTAAAATGCAAACCCATGAGATGACTGTGGCAGTTCGGGACAGGCTTGTTCTGTGGATTCAGGAGATAGTTTGCTTTTGATTTATGTATTTCTGGCTATACATTAATATATTAACCTAAGGTCTATAATTGTGTACATGTTGGATAAGTAGCAAAGTCAGTGGCATTCTTTCTGATTGAGAAACATTTGAAGACTCATTCAAATGGATTTTGGACATCGCTACGTGATGGACGAGCAGTGTAATAATGTCCATCGGACGTGTCGCCGTACCATATCAAGATCAAGCTAGTAAATTAAAATTATTTTGTGCAAAGAATATCATAGAATTTCTTTTTTAGCCAGGACAGACATCTTGTTTAGTATGCAGGAGTATTGGTAGATATTCTGAAAAGGCACTAGAAGAGAACCTTAAATTAAATTAAATTGAGCTAAATAACTGGTTTGAGAGGAATAGATTTTGAAAATGTGTTTGTATAACTTTGCATCTAAGGACGTCTCTTACCAAGATGAATTAATGTGTACCCCAAAAGCCAATATATAGCTTTACTTCAAAAATAAATGTTTAAGGATTTCAATTTCATACATCTTTAGGATAATTACTCAATATTTTCAAAAACCTGTCAAAACAGCTTTTTGGGGCTATCTTTGTTTTTTTTTTCATTCAAAGTAAGCACATAGAACTGTGACACGGTGCATTTAATTAAAAATTGAGACTTTTAAAAATGGCACTAGTGTGAAATAAATTCATAGTAAATTGGTCATACATACCTCTTTCATAGTGATGGCAATGTTGGACATGTTGCAGGGTCATTTGTTATATTTCTAATATAGAACCAATCGAAAATAATTTTACCATAAACTTTTCAACTTGAATCATTATTGATTTTATCAGATTTCTTAAAAGAATTTTTCACAGGTTTCATTTTTAGCAAAGACTAATCTTGATGCAGGCCTGCAGGGGTATTGATAATAACACTGAAAAGAAACTACTTTCGACCATTTAACTATCATTTCATTTGTTTGAATACCGAAAATTATTATATTTTTTAGTTACTAGGGCCATGTCAGTTGGTCACAAGATAAACTTTCCAACAAAAACTCTTATAATGGTTGTAGCCAAGTTTGATGGGAATTAACCACAAGGTTTCAGAAGATTTTTGAAAATGCTTCTGGAATTTCCTGCATATATCTTCACAGAAGCCCAAGTTCTCATGAGGCAGCCATATTTAACAAATGACTGACTCGTCAGGTTTTTTTTTACTGAAAGCGATTCATATTAAGACTATTTTACCAAAATACTATTCAAATTATATAAGCTAGAATTGATTTTATAATAAATTGTGTGCCTTTTTTGTGAAATTCTCTTTTATTAATGGTATAAAAAATAAGATGTATGATTGCAATTGAGACAACTCTCCACAAGAGACCAAATGACACAGAAATTAACAACTATAGGTCACCGTAGTCTTCTTCATTGGTAAACAGTTATAATGATATACATATGTATATTCTCAGAGCACTATTAGAGGAGCACTTAATTCATTTTATATCCAAATCTTCAGAATAATTGAAAATTATATACATTAAATCCCTATCTTCTTTCTATGGTAACCTCCCCTGTGGTCTCTTGGTAGCATGTTCGCCTTGAGCTGGGGGAGGTCGTGGGTTCGAACCAGGCCGGGTCAAACCAAAGACTTTAGAATTTGTATTTGCTGCTTCTTCGCTAAGCACGCTGCACTAAGGAGTAAGAGCAAAGACTGGTCAGCTTGGAGTCAGAATAATGAGTCCGGGTAAGGTGACATGTCTTCCTGCACACTGTTACTTTGTGAACTAGCATGTTAAAAGTTCAGCTCAGTAAGTCAGTCTTGCACAAAGCAGTGTTAATATTCATATTACATTAACATGTTCTCATCCTGAATATGCATATTAAATTGCCGCTGGACGTTAAGCAGCCATCCATCATCATCATCATCATCTATCAATGGTCTTATTGATCATGATCTACATTTACATATTGTTTCAAAGAATGCATCTTTTGAATGATAGTGGTCAAGTTTGGTCAAAGCTCTAATTTGCCCTATTTTTTAAGATAAAATATCATCAAAGGCAACATAATTCTACATTAGAAATTCAACATTTTATTTCAATAAATTGAATATATAAAATAATTATATTATGAACATGATAAATATCAAATGGACATTAAAATAAACAATACAATGAAACATCATTATCTAAAATTCAACAATTTTAAGTTAAATCCAGGTCTTACAATACAAAAAATATTCATGACAAACTATACAGTCAAGGGTCTAACTTAAATAAGTTATTAGAGAAAAATAACATACATTTGTTATTGAGGGCTAAAAAATCAAAAATCTGTGATAACATATGTATGTTACATGTTTCAAAGGGGCATTATACATCCTTTATTTTGTTAAATTGTGTACTAGTTCTATTGATATTATAATTGTCTTTATGTATATTAAACTTTAGAAAGATATAACAGCCCATAGTTTGCCAATCATGCATAACACACCCATGTTATTACAGAAAAAAATATGCCTGTAATAACTAAAGGGTGTTATTACAGCTTCTCTACATTTCTTCAAAGCCTTTTCTCCTACATATATCACAATGTATTTTAATTTATTGTAATAAATAATGATAAGAGCATGTAATGAGGTTCTGCGCAAGCTTCCTAGTCATTCCCAAGTGTCTCATGTAATAAGTTAAATGCCTGTAATAACTAAGCCTTGTTATTACAGCTAAGTTATCACTTAAAAGCCTTGTCTCATTGATTTAACATGGTTGATCAAAAATGTATTAATTGAATTGGAAAATTAGTTTTCAAGGTTATGTATTAAGTTACTGCGCAAGTTTCAATAATTCCCAAGTGCCCACTGAAAATAAAAATGGTTATGGTACATTTCACTGATAACAAACATATGTTACTACAGATTAAGAGAAAGTATCCATAATAACACATTTATGTTATTTTTCTCTAATAACTTATTCAAGTTACACCCTTGACTGCTATAGGTCAACTAAAAAATATAAGCAGGATTCTATGTTATTAATGAAAAATACAAAAAATCGGTCTACTATGTGAATGAAAAAGGGAAAAGGAATGCTAAGAGCTACTGATAATTTTCTTTTTTCAAATAAAAATCTCTTTCCAAATTTGAATGTTTAATAAATGATGCGGACAAACAAGATGGCAATATTAAACCTTCTCCTTAAAAAAACTGATAGTTAGTTAGAAAGAATAGTCATTGATAGTAGGCAAAAAACAAAAAGGGTGAGCGATTGATTTTATTTGGAATTAACAAATAATTGAGCTAACTAAATAATGTGGTGAAGGAAAAACATATGATTCTTTTTATTCCTTATATTACAATGTACTATTTCATAACAAAGTTTGTATAAGGAATAGGTGCTTCTAAAATTAAGCATGTCAAGTGTACACAGTCAAACTGAATGTTGCCTTAAAAAATTCCATAATTATGCCTTTAAGGTTTTTCACATCAGATGAGTATTTTATCAGATTTTACAATGGAAATAGGTAACAAAATATTGAATATTCTTTCTTACAATGGTAAAATAGCTTAGTTTTTAAATATATTTGTGATTAAAAAAACTTTCAGCTCATGTAAAAACTATTCAAATATTTTTAAGAGAGAGAAATATTTTCTTAAATATATTTTTTAAATTATTTCATTTATGCTCTTCATATTTTTTAGTAAAAAAAGGAAAGTTTTTTGAAGAACATGGTTAAAAGATAATAACTATAACAGTCACCATTTCTGAATCCAAAGAACTATGGGTAATCCAATTGTTCATACCCCCAAATTGAACATTCTTTAAACCATTGGTTGAATTTCTTTATTTACGAGGTTGTTAGCCAATCAAAACTTTTATATGCTTTTGAAAATATTAACCCAGAATGCATCAGATTCTGAAACCGTTAATTAATTCTATTCTGACGTCATGATTCATGAAGTATCTTCTTTTTTTCTTATAGTATTATGTCAACTTTAATCAAGAAATAAACCAAAATTTTATATTTAACATGTTTAAAGTGAGGAGTTCAGTGAAAATTAAATAAAATATCTTCCTATCAAGCCTACTCCTTTATCAGAAAGAACTTGTTCATGCAATTAATCAAACATGCACTTAAAAAAATCCTTTATAAATTTTTTTAAACACTAGACTAGAGATTTTATAATTGTTGAAATTCCTATAAATTTAAATGCACTGTGGAAAATTTTCTACATATACTAAAGATACACTCAGTCGGGGGTACTACTTGTACAAGTTATTTCTATTTACTTGAAGAAGGTAAATAGTAATATACTTATATAAGTAAATTTGTAAGATACATATACAAGTGTATTTTATTTACTTGTATAGGTAAATTATTTTAATGGATTAGTTATGTCCCTTAGACATTCAGATTTTTTTACTTATACAAGTAAAAAAGTCATACTATCTTCTTTTCTTGAATTTCTCAGGACTTCTTTTCTCTAACAGAATTTTAAGTTGTCCCTTTGCAGATGTCTTTACTAATCATTTAATTGTAATTTCATGGACCATGAAAATCTCATTTGTCTGTTATCTTCAAAACACTACTGATTTTCAAGCCTCCAAGGGGCAATTTTTGAAGGCCTTGCGCAATTACTTAAGATCTTTGTGCAAATAGTTTCTTTGTTGAATTAATGAGATGAAACGTTGGACTCAAATAAAAAATTGTGAGCTAACCAGAGAAAAATTGTTTAGGGCATGTTTTTACATCCCAAAATTTGAGAATTTTAGGGATTGTTAAAAAAAATTACTTATACAAGTAAATGTTTTGAGAAAATTAAGGGGAGATTATTCAAACATTACAAAAAAATATGAATATAACAAATTCACTTAAATATAAGTATATTATTATTTACTTCTTCAATCAGATAAAAATAACTTGTACAAGTAGTACCCCTGACTGACACTGAAAAAATATGACAGCAGCAATCAAGTATTAAATATCTAAAAGCTACAAAGTTGTAAGTTTTTGATTACAGTCATGAAACTCATACATATAAAGGGGTACTGTATTAAAAGAGTTGCCACTGTCAACTGGGGATTTGATGTTGGCAAATATAGTTTTCCTGGCAATGCTTAGTGGACCAGTAAGACAGATATTTGCAAAAGTCATATTCCAATTGATGATGCAAACTTTTCAAATACAATATTACTGTACATTGCTATAATTTTTATTCTAATGCAATACTTGTAAAATATTCAAAATAAATCACTTGAAATATTACAGAAACAGTGACCGCTATTTCCAAACATTGTTTCCAATTAATCTGACCTTTAATCCTGGAATGGACAGCCTGGTCAAACAATCATAACTGGTGTTACATATCATATTGCAATAGAAACTGTCCATCATATCATATAAATGATATTAAAAGATTTAAGGCCACAGAATGAATTTCTGTATATAATAGATAAAATAGACCTCAATTTTACTGTCCTCATATTATGCAATTACCAATTTGTATACAACTCTTGCTATATTATCATGTTTATATGTCTTCCTACATTTTTCTATTTTTTTAAATCTAAACATAAGTTGAAGTACAAGTGTGAAACAATCTACAAAATCCTAAGATAAATGCAAACTAATTAATAATGATCGCTTAAGGTAGAATTTAATCGTAAATACCCAACCAAAGCTTGCAGGTCGTTGTGAACAGTTTTGAAGAATTTACTGCTGGTAAAATACAACTAATATATCATGGTGTACATGAGATATCAATCTATAAGCAAAACTTATTCAAAGACACAGTGACTCAAATACATGAAATGTTTCATCATATCTTAGATGAGTAAGTAAGTGAAGTTTCATTTATTTATCACATAGGATTTCTAAACAGAGCTAAATTAAGAAATTGACCACAGTATACCTACGAATTACATGTACATGATGTATTATCTTTCAAATAAAAACAAAATCCTGACAAATTTGATCTAACAATAAATACTGATAAAGGCATATAAGATGGATTATACAATAAATATCATAAGTTCAGAATACTTTTCTCTGCTGATGCCTTAATTGATGATAATAAATGTCCAAATTTGGCCAGATCTTCTCCAGCTCGACGTAAAATCTCCATTGCTTGATCACCTGAAAAAATAAACATCAAATATAATGTTTTTTTCAAATCTAAAAATATCACATTTTGTAAAAATAAGCCCCAAAATTTTACTGATACATTACAGCAACACATTAATTCAATATGCATGTGACCTATTATTACACTTTAGTTGAAGATGGTTGCACTTGTGCTCAGCAAGTTCAGTGATAGAAAAGAATGTCTCCTACAAAAGTTAAACTATGGATTCAATAGGAAGACAGATTCTAGTGGGTGAGTCAACCTGCAACAAAATCATTCTTATACCGGTAATAAAGGTAAAAGGGTGATGTACAATTTTTTTTTTATCTACGATATAAAACTGTCATTATATTATTGCTCATGGTGTTTATATCATTTATCATGTATCATGTGTATATTTATTCATATCATGCCAGGTCACATGCCCATCCAGGGCTCGACAATAACGCTTGTCCGATTGTCCGGTACCAGAGGAAAAAAAGGTCGGACAAGTAAAAGCTAGATCAAGGTTGTCCGAAGGGACAAGTAAAATCATTTTGTAGAAAATAAATTAAATCCAACTTTGATGAACAAAGTATTGAGTAATAAACAAAAAACAAGAAAAGATAAAAACAAATATTAATTTGACATGTTTACCATGTTTACTTGCAATCGATAATTTAAGACCGGTTCTTTTACAGATACTTTATAACAGATAAAACGCGGTAATATTCTCGGAAACCAGTCTTAGATGAAATCAAGAATGCGCTTTGTAGATAAGGTAACAAGACAGTTTGGCACCGACACAGAAACCAATCCTTCCATGTTTAATAGACAGTATGGCACCGTAGGAGACATTTCGGGACCAAGCCAACCAGTTCCTCATTTCCCTACCTTTTTCTGTTGCTTATAATAAATATGATAAATTTTATTTAACAAAAATATTTTTTAAAATAAAAAATGAAGAAATTATTGACCATAAAATTCACAGAACCATATTTGATCATATGTAGACAAAACAATACTTGATTGGGTTTGAATAAACATTTTAATATATTAAAAACAAAGCTGTTTGTTGTAAGGCATTAATCATAATAATCAATATTTTAACAACATGAAAGACCAGGATACAAACCAAATGAGTGTAGACTGACAGGCCTACCAGACTGTGCCTCATGTGCAGAGTCTGATGAGACTTTGGCATTGATGAAAACTAGAACCTAAATCCTGTGACATGACTTGATTCAGTTGTTCTCGACTCATATTTTTGAAAAGGATATCAAGAGATATAAATCAAATTCTATTCTTATGTTCATTGAATCAACTTAAAATGCAAAAAAGGTTAATATTAAGTTTTTTTTTTGGACAAGTTACAATTTCATTCGGACAAGTAAGTTTTGATGTGTACTTGTCCTATTGGGCAAGTTGAAAAAAAAGTTATTGTAGAGGCCTGCCATCAGCTATAAGATGACGTTAGTCCAAAAATGTTGGCAAGAAGCTGAAAACTGAACTGTTTAATTTGTTTGTTATGTATCTAAATATACTGTATATGGTCGGCCATTATTTACAACATCAGAATAATCCATTGGCATTATTTCCTAAGACTTAAAAACAACACAGAGTCTGCTTTCACTATCTAACTCATACTTACTTGCCGATTTAAAAGGCACATGAATGCCCTTTTCTGGTGATACAATTGTTTCTAGCTCATGCAAGGTAGATAACCCTGTCTTATCACAAATATCTTGTACCTCTCTTTCGTTACTTTGATTTGACTCTGGATACATTTCGTTGGCTAGCTGTAAAACTTTCCTTGCTCTATCTATAATCTCTTCTTCTGAATAAGGCGCATGTCCAAACTTTTCTGGATTAGTTATATCTAAAATATGGTGAACTAAATTTTCCTTTGGACTAGACATAGGGTGATCATTACAGTCTAATACACTATCACCCTCATAATAAAATGAATTTGTTGGCAAGGAGCTAAATTGAGCTGTTAAATTTGTATGTTGTATATCTGAAAATACTGTAGATGGTCGCCCATAATAAACAACATCAGAATTTGAAATACCAGTTGAATTGACTGGAAAATGATTGGTCAAACTTGATGCTGACCCACTTGCAGTGTCCTGACTGGTCATTTGTAAGCTAGTTGTCTGATAACCTGTATCCTGACTAGTGGAATTTGGCTGAATAGCATTTTCAGAGGTTAATTCCATATCACCAAAAGACATATCACGATTGACTAGTAAACTTGATGTTTTTATGTCATCAACATCAGCAAATCTTAAATTTTTATGAATTGGCACAGGTTCAAAGTCCATTGCTGTGTCGTCAAATTCTGGGAATATATTCCTCTGTCTATGGCGACCAAGTGTTGATACTTTCCGACAAGATTCAGCCTTTTTTAATTTATCTTCATTTACCTCAGCAGGTAAAGGCGTTTTCATATCCTCATCAGAATCCTCAGGGCAACATTCTGAAAATAAATAAATCATCTTTTAAACTCATATAACTTCATAATTATTTTATAAAAATATATTTCTACTGTTCATTAAGGGAAATACTATAAGAGGTAGTATGTTAGCCTCTGTTGTAGGAGTTTATTCCCAGTCTGGTCAGGTTATGACTTTTGACTTTAAATAATTAATTTGCTACTTCCCCTTATGAATATTAGAATGTGACATAAGAAGTAAGAACTAAGACTGAGGTGGAATAGTGTGTTTTGAATGGGAAATAAAAATTCATGGGCATGTTAACTTGTAATCTTTTATATTAATAATCTGACTTGATGTGTTGATCTAGTCCAAAGCAGAATCCATAATTAAATGGTAAAAGCATTTTCTGGACTTGAATTTACTGTTAATAAGAAGGCATTTTATATTAGTAATACATGGGTGATGGGTATCAGAGCAACTTTTCACACTATAATGCACTATGATTCTCAATTACAATTGTTCTGGGTGGTGGGTGCTGAAAAAAAACTGCCTCCCCCCCCCCAAAAAAAAAAAAATTTGGACGATTTTTACTGCTTTAGTGAAATAAAAAAACAAAAAGAAAATCTAAAATAAATTTGCATTGTTTACTTTTTTAATATAATAAATCATCATATCACTGAAATTTATGCTGTTTTTTTTTAAATTGGAAATATTTTTCTCTGTTCTATGCATAAATTGGATTACTAACAAAATTTGCATGTTCTTTTGTAAACAAATGGTTTAATTCTATAAACTTTAATTGTTTATAATTTTAAATTAGACAACAAGTTTTTTACTTTTACTTTATTTGTTCTCTAGAAGAGCTGATAGTTTCAGGGGAGATAATTGTTTGCCTGTGACATAAGAAATGGTTTGATGTTTTCAAATAAACAGCCTAGGCAAATGTATAGATTTTGTTACTTTGCCCGTTAACCGGTAATTTTCATGATAAACTGTAAACACAGAAATGTGCCTCTCCTGAGTAACCTAATTACAAACTTCAGATATTGTTTACACTGCTAATGCTGGAAACAACACCCCCTTAGTCATGCAGGATGGGCAAAATGACACTATGATGGACAAAATGACACTATGATGTGAAACTGTCTAAACCCTCATTATATGTGAAACTTAAAGAAAGTTTATGACAGTGGATTTTACTTTACCATGAGTCTGAATAAATGATCCATCATGTGGTGGAGACAGAACAGGTGATGCAAGAGCAATTGGTGATACACCAGGACTATGGAAGGACGGTTTAATAGCACTGCTAGAGATGGACGGTGTTTTTAGTAATACTGCTGGTTTGATTGGTGATATCTCCGGACTTTCTAGTGGTCTAGCTAAATGTTCATCTTTGATAGGAGAGCATTCATCTTCAACAAAACTGCCATTATGTGGATTAAATAGTCCTGATGATCTAACTCGAGCTGTAAAATATGTCATAAATTATTCTATGCCAATGATATATAAAACATACAGCAAACATTTAAACAGGTTTAGTCTATCCAAGTGTTTTTTCTAATCCTTTTGGGAAATACTTTTCTTAATTGAAATTGAAAAATTTCATTGATAAAAGATAATGAAAAAGATTTCAGAAATTTTAAGAAAAAAATTAACTTACTTTATATCACACTATTTAGAACTTGGAATTTTGATGACATTCTATGCAAAATGTCCCTTTTTTTGGTGACGAAACTGCAAGCCTTAGCATTAGAAAAAAACGTTTTAGTCTATTTAGTACTGATGAAGTTATACTTAACTTGAATAAATACTTCTTGTTTATCTAATTAATTTAAATCTATACAAGTGGACTCCTATTTTGCAAAAATCTTTGAAATTTATACATATAATTTTTATAAACAAAAAACATTAAAGTGTTTCTTGTTTTAACAAGTAAATATATATAATGTAGTTAAAGGGGCATTAGCACGAGATATTAAAAAAAAAAAATATGATTTTGTTTTTTTGGTTCAATCATTAATTAAAGTGAAATAGTGGAATAATAATTCGCTTTTAGCAGCCAGCTTGGTTCAATTTTGTCAAAATAAGCTAAGAAACATCACTGATTATTTATTCACTTGCAAGTGAATAATTCGACCTCACTGAATCCGTATTCATGTGACCTTCAATTGAACCCCTTAGCTAGAAAGGGTTACGCATGAACTAGGTGTATTCAGCTTTTAATAGGAAAAGAATGTCAACATTGAAAGTGAAACAAGGGTAAACCATTTGGTTGACTGATTCGATCCACAAAAACTCATTCTTATACAGGTAAAAACGATGATTAACATATTTTTTTAACCTTTAACAGGAAATCAAACAGACCTAGAAAAATTCCAATTGCACGTTTAACACTATCTATTTATTTTAAATTTGTGTTTATATCGGGTTATATGACTGTCTGAAGTCTTCGGAGGTCATCTTGATGGTTATTTAGATGGTGTCTAGACTAAAATACACACGAAATTCAGATACATATCATCAAGTCCATGCATTGTAAATTGTTTATTTTAGACTTTTTATAGTTTGGATATACATTTTAGTATGTTATAAATCAAATATGAGAATTTGAGTCAAATCGGTGAACAGGAATTTGACAGGTTATGCCCCTTTAACTTTGTCCTTATTTGATGAATTTCCCAGGGTTTGATTTCATAGTTAAACAAATCTCTATAAATCATATGTCAGGCTCTAAATCTAAGTCTAGACAAAGTGTAATAAAATCTAATAAACATGAATTAAATATCTGCTATTAACAATAAATAATTATTAAGGACAAAAAATATCAAGAATCAAACAAAAAAGAATCAGTGACAAGATTCCTGATTTGAAACACACAATAACAAACAATGGAGGAGAACTTGTCTTTTGAATACTCCCATAAAATTTTATCCAAATCAGCCTGAATAATGAAAAGTACATGCAAGAATAACAATAATTATCTTTTCCATTAAGCACTTACTAAATTTAATTGGTATTACAGATGACAAAAACATATTAGGTACAAGTATTTAAAACAATTTTAAGACTTAGCATACCAAAGATTGCTTGCAGTTACTGAAAACATATTCAAAGTAGTTTCTGGAGATACAGAACTCCAATGATAATACTGTAGATTCTTAATTATTTGTTTTTTTTCTCAATTTTCAATGATTTCATGGGTATATAGGCAGTCAGAGATATAACTCTATATGGTTATTACAGAAAATAACTTGTGTGTGTTATTACAGATACTTTCATGAGTTGTCTACTCTTTATTCCTTAAATTTTCTAAATCTGTAATAACATATGTTTGTTATTTGTAAAATAAATCAAAAATATTTTAATTTATAGTGGGCTCTAGGGAACTCTAGAGACTTTGCGCAGAAACTAAATGCATAGCCTTGATAACTAATTCTTTAATTAAATTAATACATTTTTGATTAACCATGGTAAATCAATGAGACGAGGTTTTTAAGGGATAAACTAAGCTGTAATAACAAGGCTTAGTTATTAAAGGAATGTAACTTATGATATGAGACACTTGGGAATTACTGGGAAGCTTGCGCAGAACCTCATTACATGCTCTGGTCATTGTTTCTTACAATAAATTAAAATACATTGTAATTAAGCATGATTTATGTCTGAGCAAATGCTTTGGAGTGATATAGAGAAGCTGTGATAACACTCTTTAGTTATTCCAGGCATACTTTTTCTGTAATAACATAGGTGTACTATGCAAGATTGGCAAACTATGAACTGTTATATCTTTCTATAGTTAAGTATACTTAAAGACAATAGTAATATCAATAGAACTTGTATACATTTTAACTAAACTAATGATGTATATTGTCCCTTTGAAACATGTAACATACATATGTTATCACAGTTCTTTGATTTTTTAGTCCACAATAACAAATGTATGTTATTTTTCTGTAATAGCCCTATAGGGTTATATCCCTGACTGATAGGTAAACCTTGAATTTAAATGTTCAATGAAGTATATATTGTCTAAAGGCATACATGGGTCAGTCCATTTACACAGTGCTTTTGGTGGTATAATGGAATATGTGTTCTAACTTTTTGTAAGGAGCAATTGATTGCTACAAAATAGGCAGACATGTTACTGATATAATGAAGATATAGCATGAATAATTATATCTTGGTAGGTTTTCAATTTTTTTTATAATAGATTATATTTCAAAAAGGCCTCATTTTTACCCTTTTAAAATGTATACCTCACTAAGTTCAAGATGAAAAAAAATATGTTGAAACAAGAATGTGTCCATAGTACAAGGATGCCCCACTCGCCCTATCATTTTCTATGTTCAGTGGACAGTAAAATTGGGGTCAAAACTCTAATTTGGCATTAAAAGTAGAAAGATCATATCATAGGGAATATGTGTACTAAGTTTCAAGTTGATTGGACTTTAAGTTCATCAAAAACTACCTTGACCCAAAACTTTAACCTGAAGTGGGACAGACGGACGGAAGGACAGACTAACGAATGGACGCACAGACGAGAAAACATAATGCCACTACTGCCGTTACTATAGTAGGTGGGGCATAAAAATATAGGGTGATGGTTTTTATTTATTTCAGTTCTTAATAGGGTGTTTTTGTTTTAAACTATTTGTTTTGTTAATTTCATTTGTGAAAATGGGTGATTTTTAACATTTGTATATATGCTGTTCATATGTAATTACAATTCCGTCAAATTTATATTTACTGAAAATTATTCGTAACACATAAAACACATTTTAGCATGCTTGGTTACTTGATAGAAATCTGTATTATGTTTATTGAGTTAGCTCCCCTTATTTGTAAATTAATGAGACAACTAAAAATAATTCATGTTTGTAGTTAGGGCTGTTCCAGATTTAAATGCATGGATGAATGGGAGGCTCTTTTTTTTTTACCCCTATTACCCATAATATTAAATTTTTATTTTACTTGTTATTTTAACAAAATTCTAAAAGAAATGCAACCACCCACAATTTATCAATTTGAGTGCCTTCAATCCCCAATTCATTTAAATTTGGAACAGCCCTTAACAGATTAAGAAGTGATATGGAATCATATTATACCAAACAACTTAGTTTTTGTTGGCATGTTTTTTTTCTTTTAGTTTTTTCACCACATAATTACAAGGCTGACTGGCACTTAATTATAAAGTCAAATTATAATACACTGCTTACACAGATGACCGTGAACAATAGGTGAGAAGTCCAGGTTGTCCAGAAAATTTTCACCTGGTGTCCTTTTATACAATGGTGTATGTAAATCTCTTACATTCTTAATAGGACTAGAAGAAAACTGATTCTGAAAAAGAATACATGTACATGTATTAGCAATATTTAAAGATGATTAATTAAACTGTTATACATTTATATTATAACATGTATCTGTAGATAACTGCCTGGGAGTTTGTACATCCTCATTTAAAATGGAAGAAAAAATATTTTTCTTTCATTAGTTTTTTTACTACTTGTCTAGAATAAACATGTATATATATAATAATAATAATTAATGCTTGTTCTGTTCTGTTTTTTGGTGACAATCCAGATTTTGGAATTTTATATCAATAAATTATTTGACTTTGGCTAAATTCCTTAAAAGTCATAAAGCTAACTTCTAAATGCACAGTGAAAAAACCCAAGGAAACATGTAAGTGTTAATATATCACTACCAAAAACTATACAACAATAGTCAACAAGATTAATAAAATATTCTACATAAATAAGTTGTGATACACTATTTTCAACCTTTTTACAAATATTCATCAGGACAATTAGTCATAGATATAACTAGATATCATTGAGATGGGAGCCATCTCTGTGGGCCCCTTTGTGAACAACGAGTGGTAAAAAATTTGTATCTTTACCATAGGACATGGGGTTACTGAAACCAAAGTTTTTGACCTTGACCTTTGACCTAGGAAGTTGTACATACATTATGACACACCCTCTAGTGGTGGTTAATATACATGTCAAATATAAACTTTGAAATCATACCATTCTCAAGATATAGAGCGGACACAATCTTACCATAGGACATGCGGTTGTCAACTGAAACCAAAGTTTTTGACTTTGACCTTTGACTTAGGAAATTGTACATCCATTATGACACACCCTCTGGTGTTGGTTAATATACATGTCAAGTATAAACTTTGAAATCATAATGGTTCTCAAGATATAGAGCGGACACGATCATTACCATAGGACATGGGGTTGTCAACTGAAACCAAAGTTTTTGACCTTGACCTTTGACCTAGGAAGTTGTACATACATCATGACACACCCTCTGGTGTTGGTTAATATACATGTCAAGTATAGACTTTGAAATCATAATGGTTCTCTAGATATAGAGCGGACACAATTTGTTACAGACGGACGGACGGACAGACTGATCACTATAGGGAAACCCGCCATTCGGCGAGGCCCTAATTAAATGTTGGTATGGTTGATCTATGTATAGATGCTAAATGTCTAAAGGCAATTTTACAGGGATATTTAGCAGTCTTCACAATAAACTTTTAAATCAACAGGCCTGGAACTCGATTTTTGGAGACATATTTTTACAGGCCTGACAGCAATTTGGGCTGCTGGGCATGTGGCTTAGCATGAAGACTGATTTAGGAAGGTAATATATTAATGTACAGTCAAACCTGTATTAAGCAGTCACTCTTTGGAAGTATCAAAAGTGACCGCTCAAGAGAGGTGACCTTTGAAACAAGGTTCCAAAAAATTCCGATTCCGACATCACCCGTGGACAGGATCAGGTCAAATTGTTTTAGTGTTTTCAATCGTTAGAGTTGCAGAACTTGCGAGCAGTGAAATAAAAAATGGCGGATCCCGGAGCTGTAAATTTGATGAAAATGTCGGAATATTCGTGGGAAATCAGTCGCTGATACTGTTTTCAATGGAAACTGAAAAGAATGGAACAAGGCGAATTAAAAATTTACCATCTATTGTGCAATCATTGTTGCTAACTGGTTTAGATTTTCATTTTTACTTCTGTATTGATAACATGTATTTTTTGCAATGAAGAATTTTTGGTAGTTAAAAAATTAAAATGACCGTTGTTAAAAGTTGAAATGATGATTTCGTTCGAAAATAAAGTGACCACTGAAATGAGTTAAATTATATAGAGAAAATGTTATGGAGGGTCTGAAAGTGACCTTTAGAGGCTGGTGACCACTGAAACAAGGTGACCGTTAAGGCAGGTTTGACTGTAATATATGAATATGAAACCTGTTTTTTATTAGACAATAATGCTGAGCAAGATATTAAATGCCAGCATAAAGTGAGGCAGTCTAAAGAAAGACATCACTTTACCATAAAATTTTTCAGAATCACATTCAACCAGTTTTCAGACTTTTTTTCTAAATGCCACATGCTAGGTAGAAATGCAGGAAATATTAATTTTACAGTTTTTCAGCTTGAAGATTTTCAGTTGGGGATCAAACACACAACCTACTGCACTTGAGGTGAGCTTGGTATCACAAGACTTTCAAGGTGGTTTCAGGTATGGTAATATAGTTATACCTTTGAGTGAAAATATAAGTTAAACAGATTCATGTTTTGACATAACCTATTTTAGGTATAGTCTTTCATCTTTATTAGTTTTTTTTATTACTTAAGGTATTAAAATAACTTCAATCATGCAATGCAATAGAATTGAATAATATGCACTGATCTAGAGGGAAACCAAGAGAAATAGATGGATAAATTTTTAGTATTTTCATCATGTTTGAAGAAGAAAACTTTACCCTTGACGGAGTCTTTAGTGGAGTAGCATGGTTCTCTGTTTTCTGTGGAGTTTTAGAAGACAGAATGACTGGTGAAGCACAACCACCAGCTAATCTTGATTCATCTTTTCCTAAAAACCCTCTGAAATAAAAACAGAAAATATCAGCAACTTTCTACATAGCAATTGATTATCATATAACTGAATCCTTTTTTCTTCTATAAAAATATTGAGTTACAAGGTTCTAAGGTATTGTTCTAGAATCTTTACAACTACAGAACAGTAAAACTGTAATGTGAAACTTGAGTATGAAGTCTTATTTTATTGTAAAGGTACTGTTTTGTACAAACTGATCACATCACACATAACATCATTCATTTTTAGATGAGACTTTTAAAATTTCCAGTTTTTGAAAATAAGATGATGATGACAAATTAGTGTTTTAACATCCAATGGGAAATATCATTTGCATATAAGAACATGAACGTATAAATGTGATATAAATATGTCAGGTTTTAAGCATGCTAGTTCTCAAGGTCTGTAAACAGTCTGTATGAAGACATGTAGTTCTGGTCCGTTCTTTGTCTTGAAAATCAAGGAGATTTCCCCAGTAATTGTTTAACTTACTTAACAGGACTAATAGCAACTCCAGAGTTATCTCCCTGGAAGAAAAGTTTTCTTCTTAGTGAAGATGTGCTCAACATTTCTGGATTGTCATCTGGCCCCTGCTGATTCTGTAAAAACTGACCTAGAAAATTAAACGGTTTTCAATCTATATTTCTATTGTGCTTTTTTCCTTTCAAATCATATCATGAATGGCAATGTCTTTTTACATTTGGTTAATTCTAAATCGAGTTGTGTTTCAAGAAGTTATTTTTTAACAAACCCTGTTACTTCTCAATCTCTATATCCTATAAAGTATCTAAATTAAAAATACTTACCTAAAACTTTGTTGATGTCAAAATCCACTGGCAATGACAGCATAGTTTGACATGATGCTGCAATAAAACATCAACTTCATTTAATTTTTGTGCATCAGCATCAATCTTTCGAATCTAAATTAAAATGCATTATTTTGTGACTGCCAACATGGTTAGGCAAAAAAAATATAGTTTTGTTTCCTATCTCCCTACTGATCTTAGATTAAGCACTGTTAAAGTCCAGAGCATATCCCTATATAATCTTATGTAAATTATTACAAAAATAAATACAAGAGTGCACACGCTGAAATGTCTCGTCTGCTTTACTGACCATTAGTTTTATGTTGAAAGTCTTAAAGATAAAGGTTATACTAAAAGCATTACAGAACCTTAACATTTTTAAAGATCTATGACAATGAGGTCAAGGTCAGATAAATCATGTCAGACAGACATATATAGTTGACCTATTGTGTACGCTAATTGAAAAACAGACCAAAACACAAAAAACTTAACATTGACCGATGAACCATGAAAATGAGGTCAAGGTCAGATTATACTTGCCAGACAGACATGTGCACATTACAATTATTCCATACGCCAAATATAGCTAAGTATTTGAAAAACAGACCAAATCACAAAAACACAATATTGACCATTGAACCATAAAAATAAGGTCAAGGTCAGATGATACCTGCAAGATAGACATGTACATCTTACAATCATTCAACACATCAAATATAGTTGACCTATTGCTTATAGTACTTGAAAAACAGACAAAAACACAAAAACTTAATATTGACCAATGAACCTTAAAAATGAGGTCATGGTCAGATGATACCTGCCAGACAGACATGTACACCTTACAATCATTCCATACACCAAATATAGTTGACCTATTGCTTATAGTACTTGAAAAACAGACCAAAACACAAAAACTTATCATTGACCAATGAACCATGAAAATTAGGTCAAGGTCATATGAAACCTGCCAGACTGACATGTACCCATTACAATCATTCCACACACCAAATATAGTTGACCTTTTGCTTATAGTATTTGAGAAACGGACCTAATCACGTACCTTTAACCTTGATCACTGATCCATGAAATGAGGTCGAGGTCATCTGACACATTTTTTAGTCTAGATACCCTAATAATGATTGTGGCCAAGTTTGGTTAAATTTGGATATGTAGTTTCAGAGAAGATTTTTCTAAAAGTTAATGACGACGGACGCCAAGTGATGAGAAAAGTGATGGCAAAACATGTCTTGTGTACACTGAAATCAATATCATAACACATATATATTGATGAAGAGGTCATTTCCAGAAACAAGTGTACTGTGCACATAAATTGATATCATGCTCTTCCTTAAATCATCTTACAAATACCTTCTTTTTTGTTGTCTGCTTGAATTGTTCCTGGTAACTGCTTTTTTATTGAACCTTGTAACTCTTCAGGCAAACATCCTAGTCTCTGACCTTAAAAGTAAATATCCATATATATTTCGTCAGAATGGGAGATAAATTTTTTAAGGGGGCAGTCAAATCTTATATCGTTTGATTGAACATTTGTTGTGCCTAGTTCTGTAGGCTCCACCCCTCCCCCCATCATTATGATGGATTGATATATTCGGTTTTATAGAACATTTTACAGTATTTTAGAGTTTTCCTTCAGTCTCCAAAATAATTATTTGATAGTGAGCTTAAAGGTACATCTGAAGTTAAAATTCAATTCAGTAATTGAAAATAAATAATCAAATATGACTACAATGGATCTGTGCTATTTTATTTAGATGGTGTCTGTTGGGTGTAACAGGAAGAAGAATACCTGGGTTAGGAGTTGCTTTAAGTCCTGTAGCAGGAGAAGGAGCAACAAGATTATTACTAAAGAAGGTATCTATTGCTCTCTGTGCTTTTTCTTCTGTTTCTCTGTCATGTCTGAAACAAAAAGTATGACAGTTTTAAGAGATTACAAAGCCTAAGGCTAAGATAAGATGTATAACAATATAGTCTAAACATAAAATTTGTAAATATTAATCTGTTTTAAAGTTGTACATTTTACCCAGGATTTTTTTTAATAACCATAGACATGTTCTTGTATGCATAATAAACAACGGACCAATTAATGGGAAAGTTATAAATCTTGAAAATCATTTTGTATTCTGTATATGGCAGGGTTTAAACTTTAATTATTTTTCAAGGAGACATGAGGGGCCCTAATAAAATAGATTTTGGGGCCCACAATTAATCTTAATAGCACACACAATTTATGGGAATTATGATTCTCAATACAAATTTCGGAACACCTAGGCTAAGTTTCCTTTTTAAAACAGTCTATAGAACTGAAGACAAGTGACTCTTGTAGTATTTACTTTCATAATGTATATAAAAGATATTGTTTGTTTTCATTTTGTTATGTTGTGTCACATGCTATGAAATGTAGTGTAATGCCATTAAAGATTTGAATTGAATTGAATTATATTAAAGATCTATAAATTAAAAAAATTTAAGCAACTTATATCAATAAATTGAAACAATGCATTTGCATTGATATATATACATTTAAGTAAGGGGATCCAACCAAATGTCTGTTAATGCATGTGGAATAGGTATTTTTTTACTTTAGTGATCATTATTCTTCTGTCAGCAGTGTCATTCCTGAGTCTGTAGTTATTATCGGTAGAAGACAGATATTGTTCATAGTTGGTCTGTGTCAGATCCGTAATTAGTATATATTTCAATGACAGATGAAGGAAAATTTACAAAATAAACAAAGTTTGACAAGCGATTTGGAAAGGAATATTACGAGGTATCTGAGATGAATTCAACCTCTGGAGTCATGTATCAGACCAAAACATTTCTACGATGAAGTTACATGTAGAAACCATAATATGCCCACAAAACAAAACAGCTTTTATTAAGATAGAACAGTCAGAAGAGTTTGACACATGGATGCATAAATGAAATCAAGTTGTGAAAACAGAGCCTGTGATCGGATGATCCTGGCCCAACCTCAAGCTAGCGTCAGTCAAATAATGAGCTAGGATACCAGGCTTTAAATAACAATGTAACAGTTTTAAGCTGGTTTTCCACAAATTATTGTTTATTAGAGCAGATCCCAGTTAGGTAAACATATGAGTTTGTGTGACTACACTGGATATCATGCAATTTTAACAGAGTTCGCGAAAATGGTCGGTCCTGTTGGTCAAAATGAGGCTTGGACCAGTATTTTGAAGGCTAGTGCCTGTCCCAATAACCGATGTAAAAACAGCCGTTGTAGTGCATATTTCTGCACTTTTTTACATCGGTTATTAGATGTACCGCAACTGTTTCCAATAAGTGTTTACATCGGTTATCAGATGTACCTGCTGCCAATTTCAGGTACTGGTTTACAGATTTATTATAAACAAACCAAAGCGGCGATCTACACATGGCCTACTAAATTTGTTCATAGAGCCATCCCTGGCAAACAAATACTGTAACAGCCGAGAAAGTGATTCAGATGACGAAATGGATAGTGAAGATGACATTAAATAAGAACAATCAGAAGACCTGAACTGGTCCTTCATTGTTAATTTTCCTGTGGGTGCGAAGAATAAAACTAATATTAATAAAGTTATTTTTCGATAAAATGTTATTAATTTTATTTCAGGATAAAATTGACAGATTTTGTAGGACTGGCTAAAATTTTGTAGGACTGACAAATAATCATGCTTTGTCGGTCCCATGACCGACGGGTCAAAATAAGTTTTCGCGAACTCTGATTTTAATAGTAATAATTTTCAAAGTGCACTCGACATGTGGGCTAACAAGATTACATATTTATTAGCCCACATCAAAAAGCACTTGCAAATGGTGAGTGGGCGACAGCTAATTTCAAACCCTGTAATGAGCTAAGCTGAAAAATTATCATGTTTTCAAGAGAGTTTTCATAAATGAAGAAACACATGTATCCTAACAGATAAAAAATAAATTCAGGTGATCTAATGAGCACAAACATAGGGCTGTAGAGTAAAAATATCGCATCACAGTGGAATTCCTTTAAAAAACATATAACAGCTTTTTGCAATGCAATTCACATTAATGTCAGCAAGTTACCATCTTTCACATGATCAAAGATATTGTGACATCACAACACAGTATACATGTCATGCCAATAGAAAAACACATGTTAGACTAACACTTAATACAGCACTACAATAAAAAATAATATTACCCATGATGTGGATCTTGTTGATGGGGCATTTCATCAATATCTGCAGGATGAAGGACAGCCAAATGTTCTATAGACCATCGAAAGGCTTTCTGTAAAAAGAGACATCATTTATGTCAATATCAATATTTTTTTGTTTTGGTTTCCCTTTTTTTTATTCCTGTTGCAAAAATGTTTGTGCTTTTCAATTTTATTTGCATGTGCTTTGATCATGTTTATATCAAAATTATGAGAGAAAAAAATCTCCATTTTGTTTCCTCTTGCACTGAGGGCTATTCCAGAAATTGAGAAAATACATGTATATCTGGAATTAGTATTGGAAAGCACATCAAAGGGTAGTTTTTGCTATGTAACACTAAAACTAATTTGCTTTCTGTAATGTCACTCCAAAATATTCATTTTAGTGCCTTTAAATTCCAAATGTACATCTTTCCTATAGCTACATTACTGCACAATATTGTACAATAACCATTATAACTCTAACTCACTATCAATTTCAGAGTGTCAATTATAAAAAATATGTACACTTAAGTAAATGTACCAATACCTTTTCATCTGAAGCAGGAGTTGATCCTGGCAAAGAGAATACTCCAGGACTCATAAACATGTTGCCTTCTAAATGTTCCACATCAAATTCAAATGGGTTTTTTGGCCCAAGTCTTTGAGGTGTGACAAAATGATGTTGTTTGGCTGTTTCTGGTGTCTCCTTGACAATAGGACTACTGCCTATATTTCTTCCTGGGGTTCTATACATTGGAGTGAACCCTGTAGGCGTGGCAGACAGAGGTGTGTAGTTTTTGTGGTATGGACTCAGCACGCTTTTGAGGTATAATTCATTTCTAGTACTACTCCCCGGTAATTTATGTGCTGGACTTGGGCTGAAAAAAATATAATTTAAAACATTACATTGTAGTTTTATATAGGTTATAAAGTTGCATAGTAATTGAATAATAGCAGTGCACTATTTAAATTTTATATTTCAACATCTAATGTTTTGCATGTTTCAGTAATCATTTACGACACGATCAAAATGATTTCAGATCATTCAATTTATCACCATTAGCTCTATAGATAAGATTGATTCTGTTATTTAGCATGTTTTGATATATATGTTGTGTACAAGTTATCATTTTGTACAAATAATAATTTGTACAAAAAAATTGTACAATTATAATTTGTATTTTGACTTTGTACAAATTGTAATTTGTATAAAAAGTGCTTGTACAAATTACAATTTGTACAAAATTTGACTAAATTCACTTATAACTTGTACAATAATTTATAGTATGGATTTTGTTATAAAAAAGCATTGATACTGTACACACTAAAGAATTTTTATTCAATGACCACACAATAAACCTTGTCAAACAAGTGAAACTGCGAGCTACTGCTCACTGATGATACCCCCAGCCAAAATACTTGACGGTAAACAGGAAGTTGTTGAGTGATGAATCTGAAAACGCATCACACGTTATAGCTGACTTATACATGTTATATAAACACTGAAACCAAATTTCAGAAATCCTTGTAATGTAGTTCCTGAGAAAAATGTGACGAAAATTTTCAACTTGGATGTCATGTGTAAAATTATGTAAGTGTTCGGTAAACAGGAAGTTGTTAAGTGATGAATCTGAAAACGTATCACACGGTAAAGCTGACTCATATAACCCCTGTTACCAAATTTCAGAAATCCTTGTATTGTAGTTCCTGAGAAAGATTCGACGAAAAATATTCATGGGACGAACGGACGGATGGATGGACGGACTGACGGAAAGACAGAGGTAAAACAGTATACCCCCACTTTTTTAAAGCGGGGGTATAAATACAAATTATAATTTGTACAATGTTTTTGTACAAATTACATGAATTATAATTTGTACAAATAATAACTTGAACACAACATATATATATATTCATAATATCAGGAACATATATATTGACGGGACTTGACACTTCCTAATTGTAGCCGATTTCATCGTCTGGTCAAGGTTAATAAGGATACGATACGGAAACGGACATGTGTTAAAAACGTACTCGCTATTATCCTAATAATTTCTGATAATAATAATAAAATGTCATTCAAACTAAGTTTTAAAGTGATGCCAGTGTATCGAACTTGTAATCTGTCACTTCAAATTCGTTATAATCGCATTCATTTCATCACAGAAGGGTACAGATGCAAACCAGGTAATAAAAAATGGCGCCGATTGCAATCCCAAATTCCCAAACCATGTAAAACACTTTACATCAAATAAATCACACTTATTTTGGTCATTTTACATGACAAAATATATCTACTTTATGATAAAACTTGTATTTATTTACGATTAGAATTATGTGGTTAATTTATTGAGCAGTTCCGATAGTTTTTCAGTCAGACACTATCAAAATCCATAAATCTCGCGAAGTCTCGTAAAGTCCGAGATTTTATCAATTTTATACTGAAAAGCCTATCAGATTCATTTCCCGTTAGATATACTGTTCCCAGATAATATACAGCACAGTATGCACTTTTGTGCTAAATACTATTAATTGTCTCTTTTGGAACATGATTGTAAATTTTCATTTTAATTCTTGAAATACAAAAAAAAGTGTATGTATCATAACTTTACATGCCAAAATTTTTTTCATTGTCAGGATTGTTCCAAGCAAGATTTTTTCTTCTTTTTTGTTTTTATATTGGAAATCATTTTAGAGAAATTTCAATGTGTGTTTGTAATTTATTGTACAAAAACAATATGAGCTAACTTAATTCACAGTGCATATAAGTCTTCTGTATGAAAAATTTCAAGCAAAAAATATGTCTATTGATTTTAAACTGTTGTTTAATCAATGTCAAGTGGAAAATATTTCATGCATATTAAGATGTAAATATTAAGAGTACTACATGAACAGATGTATACAAACCTGGACATCATCAAAGGATGACCTAATTTTTTAGTAGAACTTCCAGGAGTCCTTGACCTTGCACATGCAATAGGACTACACATCATCTCTATATTATTTAGACCTTTACTTGGGGTCTGTATGGGCTTAACTGGTGATGAAACATCAGAATCCATTCCTTTTTATTCTAATCTGTTAAAAAGAATAGAGAAGTATATATATTATGAGACACAAAGAATTAAGTAAATACTCATTTGTACCAACATGACAATGGTAGAAACTCCTTTGAGGGATTTTTTTTTAACTTAAATGTCAATTCACAAAAAGCTACAGCTGCTACAGGGGACGTATTCAAGTGACGTTTTTGTCCAGAAATGTTACAAGTGAAAGTAGTCTTTCTTAAATAATCACCTATTTAAGTAGTACAAATAAATCACTAGACATGATTTTATTTTATTGTAGCCAATTTAAAATGGAAAATTTTAAAGAAAAAAAAAGGAACCCCCTTATGATTCATCACCCCCAAACTCAATCCCAGCCTTCCCTTTGTGGTATGGTACCTTGCAGTACAATTTCAGAGAGATCCATACACTTGAACACAAGTCATTGTCATGAAACTAGAAAAATGCTTGTTTTTTGGCCCCTTTTTGGCCCCGAATTCCTAAACGTTTAGGGCAATTACCCCCAAACTCAATTCCAGCTTTCCCTTTGTGATATGGAACCTTGTAGTACAATTTCATAAAGATCCATACACTTACAAGTTATTGTCCTGAAACTAGAAAAATGCTTGGTTTTTTTTGCCCCTTTTCTCCCCTAATTCCTAAAATTTTGAGGCAATTACCCCCAAACTCAATCCCAGCCTTCTCTTTGTGGTATGGTACCTTGCAGTACAATTTCAGAGAGATCCATACACTTGAACACAAGTCATTGTCTGGAAACTAGAAAAATGCTTGTTTTTTTGCCCCTTTTTGGCCCCAAATTCCTAAACGTTTAGGGCAATTACCCCCAAACTCAATTCCAGCTTTCCCTTTGTGATATGGAACCTTGTAGTACAATTTCATAAAGATTCATACACTTACACACAAGTTATTGTCTGACATGAAACTAGAAAAATGCTTGTTTTTTGTCCCTTTTTTGGCCCCTAAATTCCTAAAATTTTGAGGCAATTACCCCCAAAATCAATCCCAGCAATCTCTTTGTGATATGGAACCTTGTGGTACAATGTCAGAGAGATCCATACACTAACACACAAGTTATGTCTGGAAGTTACAAAAATGCTTATTTTTGACCCCTTTTTGGCCCCTAATTCCTTAACTGTTGGTACCATAACCCCCAAAATCAATCCCAACCTTCCTTTTGTGGTATTGAACCTTATGCTTAAATTTCATAGAGATCCATTGACTTAAACTAAAGTTAGAATGCGAAAATAAACTAATGCGTCTTTGGACGACGACGACGCCAACGTCATACCAATATACGACCACAAAAATTTTTTTGCGGTCGTATAAAAACTTCTTGAATTAAAAATATGCCAACATGTGTATTTTTTGTAATGTTAGCCTATGGTATAAATTATACTATTTCAGAAATTAAACACCATACTTGAAAACTAAATAATAGTTATCAAAGGTAACAGGATTATAATTTAATACGCCAAACGCGCGTTTCGTCTACATAAGACACATCAGTGACGCTCAGATCTGATTTGATCTTAAACTTTATGAAAATGCTGATTGTGTTCTTTTGTTATATTTTTCATGATGTCATATTATATAAATTGCACACGTTATATTATGACTCATATCAAAAACATTTTCAATTTCAGACATTTTTATCAGAATTTGCAAAAGGAAAGGTTATTCCATATTGCCTTTTCAATGGTATACTACACTTTGTTTTTTAATCAAGTTTTAACCAAGTAAAAATATCATAAATATGGATAAAATTGAGAATGGAAATGGGGAATGTGTCAAAGAGACAACAACCCTACCAAACAGCAGAAAACAGCTGACGGCCACCAATGTGTTTTCAACACAGCGAGCACCTGCACCCGGAGACGGGCTTCAGCTGGCCCCTAAACAATATGTGTACTAGTTCAATGAAAATGGATGTCACACTAAACTCTATAACATGTACAAATGTATGTGGGAGCCTTCTGTTTAAAAATTAAATTCAGAATCTCCCCTCCTTCAGGAATTGTAACTAACGCATTTGGAATGTGTATTAGATTTGTAGTATACAGCTATAAATGTTAAAGAGTTCATTCACTTTTTAGGAAACACTTTATGTGTTTGGCTTCCAACACATTTGGTATTGTGAAAATCATTCCAGAAAAATGCATCTTGAAATCGGTATATTTTTTTAACAAATACATAAAACCAAAGAAAGCTATTGGTACCAAGGTGTTAAAACACATATAAAGGTCCTGGGGAGAATACTGTTGAATATATGATGTCAATATTTTTAAGTGTCAACAACTATCTAATCAAGCTCAGGTCTATCATACTACAGAGACCGGTTGTCTATCCCCAATCATCTTGATATGGTACAGTGATAAGTGTCAGGGTGGACATCGTTAAAACTAGACGTCCATCCTGTTCCAATTAATCCAAATAACCCCCACCCTAAGAAATTCGAATCTGGGTCCATTTGCTCCTATCCACTTTCGACCCCTTTCACGTTCACACCCTACACATTCACATCCTTTTTAAAGGTTAGGTTAGGATAATTTTTTAATCATGCTTTAGTTAGTGTATTGCTATAAAATAAAGATAATAAGTGTTTTTTATTAATTGTTTAAAAATAAAGTGACATTCTAAAAATGTGAACAGGTTTTGTTCAGGGCTCACACTATATTTGTACTTCAGAATCATAGGGAGAAGTGACTTCTCTTTTTGAAAATGATAGGGAGAAGTGGTGAGATTTGAAAGGGAAATGCTCGTTTGCTCACGGCACTACAATGTTTGGTTTTTACTATAATACAAAGGGCCATATCCTTTTTATTTATTTTTTATACTGTTCAATTCAAATCTGAGTATATAATTAAAGTAACAGTTGTTTCAGTTTATGTCTTTAATAGATGATCATTTATAGTTGCACAATTATATTCCAAGTCCTCTTGTCAGAAACTACCAACTAAATATCTTGCACTAAAAAAATAATTTTTGTTATATCAAAAAGGAAAAGAAAGTATCATATATCAATTAAAGTTCAATTAAAAAAGCTATCCTGTCTAGTGTGCCTTTTAATTTGGGATCATTATTCTTCTGTCAGATGTGCCATTCGTGCGTCTGTAGTTATTATCTTAAGAATCTGGATTTTGGTCATATTTCACACAAATATTTCAATGGCAGACAAGGAAAATTTACTAAAATAAACGATGTTTAACAAGCGATTTGGAAAGTAATATGATGCTTTTAATGCAATAAATTGATTAAACATTTACTAAAGGTAATTTTCATCGCGTTCTAAAGAAGAAACAAATATTGGTTTGCCGAAAATCAGAATGTTTTGATGTACGCTCTCAAGTAATGAGTACCGGAAGTGATAAAAAGTTTTCTGTGTGAAATAACATACAACCAATCTGTAAAGTCCATGCTTTAACCTTTTTTCTAAAGAAATAAATCTTATATGTCTTTGGATTTCTTAACTTAAAAATGAAAAATTGCTGTTTTGTCAACTTGGTAAAAATTGAAAATTGCAGATGACGAAAGCGACTGAAAGCGACAATGGTGAACACTAGGGCGACTAAGATATTGCTTTTGACAGTCGGGCAAAGCGAAGTGACGGACAGGGAAAGCGACTTCTTTGCCCCAGTTGCCTGCTAGTGTGAGCCGTTTGTTTGTTTTGTGAATTATTTTGACATTTTCTTCCAAATGGCCACAGGTCAACCTTCGCAGATCAATTATGGTATTGGGTCCATTCGCACCCCACACTTTTGGCCCCTGGGTTCGTTCGCACCCTATTTTTATTCAAATACTGGTTGAATTATTAGATATTTCTAGATGCTTTATATCAAAATATTTAAATTTTCTTTAAAATTAGGGAATTTTTAAATTATTTGTTTTGTGATTTGATGATTAATTATTAATTGCAAATTATGTATGATTACTATTAATTGGTATTTACAAAGCCAAATTTGTTATTTTTGTTCTGTGTTTGAAAATCAAGATTTTTGTTATAACTAGCTTCGATGTAAATAATGCATGTAGTTAGCTTGGTATGAGTAAACTCGATGAAGATTTAGTATCTTTAGCCTTTCTTTTACAAGCAGTGTTCTCCCCAGGATGATAGGACGCTGCGGTCCACCAGCGCCTTCCAATATTTTTGTTGTCCCCTCAGCGCTTACATTGGCACACAGTGCCTTAAAAGATAATCATACAGCGTATTAATTTTCATATTTAATTATAAACTGTTGATAACTTTTGTAAAGTTTAAGATCGCCGCTGTCAGAGCAGCTGAGAAGAAAATCAATATTACACCAAATTACGCAATTATTGATCCTTCAGGCTATCCTTTACCTGTATTTGCCTTATCATAAAATTGAGAATGGAAATGGGGAATGTGTCAAAGAGACAACAACCCGACCATAGAGCAGACAACAACCGAAGGCCACCAATGGGTCTTCAATGCAGCGAGAAACTCCCGCAGATCGCGGATTGGCATAGATTAATATCACCCAATAGATAAATATTTTTATTGGATACTTTTTTCAGTGTTTCAGGGTTGGAATTATGGGAAAATATCGAAAAACAAATACGAAACATTTTTACGTATGGCTTTCCTGATTTCTTTGCCGAATTAAATATCGAATTTTCTCATTGGTCATTAATAAAATCTATTTAAATACGACCAATGAACATGATGAAAACATGTGGTAGCTTTGCAATACGCAACTACAAATATTTATGAATGGAAGTCATTTTACGTAAAAAAAAGTCAAAGTAAACTTATATTTATGACATATAAAAAATGTGAATCGATAGTTCATGTAGTTAGGGTCAGAACAAGGCATTTTGTTCATAGAAAATAAAATTTGTCTTTAATTGCAATGTTTAAAAAAATAAATCAGTTACATGTGTCATGTTTTTGGTCCTTGCACCGGAAAACTAATACAATTAACAACTCGATGTCAATAGTTGGTAACGGAAACTTAGAAGCATATGTGCATAATGTCACTTGTAAATATTTTGTTGGACTTAACTTTGAAGAATTTGTCAGGTTTCTACTTCCCAAAGAAAAGATAGTGCCACACACAGAAACGATCACGAAATGTCAAACACCTGTTTTTCAATTCTTTTGTTTTAAAAAGTTGTATTCCAAAAAATATAAACCGCTTAATAATTAGATAATACAATATCTTTAGAAGGAGCTGATGCACCAGACATGGAAATATCTAAAGCACTGGAAGGCTCAAAGAACAGAAGAATATTCTCTTGAAATTACTAAATTTGGACTCCTTAAATTAAATTTTAACTCTATAAATGGACTCTGATGAGTGCAAATTGATTATATTTTATTTTATAATAATTTATAAATAGTGTACATAATTAAACACCTGTCAAAAAATTTCTGGGGAGAACACTGACAAGTCTTAGATGAAAGAACTTTGCCTTTATAATCTTCATGACAATTTTTTATTTATGATTCATTTCGTCAAAATAATTAATAAATCTCTAAAGGAAACCTGTTTACGTTCTTAGTATGTCACTTTATTTTGAAACAATAAGAAAAAGTTATTTATAGCAATACATTAACTTAAACAAAAAAAAACTTCATTCAACACATACCAATAAAAAGGGTGCAAACGTGTGGGGTGAGAAAGCGATATGGGGGAACGTGAATGGTAGGGAACATGATTTTGAGTGAAAGGACAAGGATTCTTCATTCATAAAATATAAATTGGAATCTCATGTAAAATTTGACCAGCATTGCCATTGTACATTTAATAATGTATTTGACAATGACCAATGATATCTTAAACCTTAACATTGCAAAACCAAGATAGAGCACACAGTTCTTTGTTTACTTTGACTAGAAAAGTTGTTGGGACTTATTTTATTGCTATTTGTGCCAGTCCAGTCGATGTTGATATTTTTCTTTTTCAAAACCCTTTGTCAGTGTTTGTTTCATCGATATCTTATATATAAAAATGAAATGTTGTTTACTTATATTTTGATCAATTTTATGTACCTTCGCTTTACATGTTTCGTAGTGTATATAAACAAGACATGTTCAGGCTTGCAGAGTGTGTACAAATGAAATTTCAAATACCCGCCTCTGCAACGACCTGCAACACCAATAAAAACATTTTTCCGGTTTTGAGAATCACCATACAAATAAAAATAATACTGAGTATTATTCCCAATAGAAATAAAATTTTCGTATGATAACAAATCTCATATAAATAAAAAAATTTGAATTTGGAAAACTATTTTTCACCATCATAAATTCAACACTTTAAATAATTTGTGTGTTGTATATTCACGAAAAAACAAACATGGCGGAGAGAGGGAAAAAGAAAAGTTCGTCAGCAAGGGAGACAATGGATAGTACGTACATGTAAGGGGGTTAACGACATACAAAAACTGAATGTTGTCATTTGAACCCTTGTACCAAAGATGGTAGATACGATAACGTTAGCATGTGTCCTTTTTTCTTCAATAAGAGGAACTAGGGTCAGGTCGCCCGAATTCTAGACAGTTCGGTACCAAGACAAATCGGCACCCGCGATAGACACTTCGGCACCCACATGTTGCGAGGTAACAGTATACAACTGTCGTCTGACATTGTGTAAGAAAAGGAATTTCAAAAGTGTTGACCTTTATATATGTTTCTGGGTATTTACTCATTATGGCTTGCATACGCTGTTATGTTTATGGCTTTTAATATTTAAACAATAAAATATAGTTTTCAGGTATTGTGTTGTCTTAACAGATGTAAGGATCAACCGAGGACACAAGCTGCAAACACAAGCTATACACTTTTGATCTTTATTAAGGATCTTTATCAGATTTATACATAAAATATTGATTAATGCATAACTACAATTAATTATGATTTAATTAAATAATGTTTATTCAAACAACAGCATATCTAACAATCAATTATGATTTAATTAAATGATGTTTATTCATACATACATACATACATAATCATTTAGGGTTTAATTAAATGATGATTATTTTTTTTGTAATGCAGATTTTATCTACGAATTATAATATTACTGCAACAATTCTTTGATTTTTCCTAATAAATATATTTTAAAAAATGAGGTGCCGAATTGTCTTCGTCCCGAAATGTCCGGATCCCAAAATGTCGAAAATGGATGCCGAAATGTCTTCGGGCTTGGGTGCCGATTTGTCTGGGTGCCGAAATGTCTTGTTACCAGGTCGCCCCTGTTCTCTCCTTTTTAAATTGGCTTTTTATTGGATACATGTAAACTCGTACCTTCGAAAATTCACCCTCTAGGCTGCTCTCATTTGTCTGTTTGTTTGGAAGTTGGTTATCAATTGATGGAGGTTTTTTCTGATGCCATATTGATGAAGTTTGTAGAGAAGTTATTTGTATGGTACTGTTAATAAGTCACTGTTATCAAAAGCCTTTGAGAAGTCAAGTATTGCTAAGTTTATTTGTTTACCATTGTCATATGATTGGAACATGTGGTCGATTGTTATGAGTTGCTGAGTTTCACACGAGCAGCATGTGTTTACATATGATATGCTTCAATAGTTTGCATGGTATTACAGATTTTAATGATACAGGCCGGTAGTTTTCAGCTAAAGCCTAAATGTTTATTATCTTTCTTGTATATGCTCCATACATTTGCGTTTTGCTGGACTTCTGATTATTCCAAGGTGTTGAAAGATGGTTGTGAGTGATGATTTTTCTGCCATTACTCAAGGTTTATCATAGCAAATGGACAAAAATGGCTGTTTTTACACAAAAAAAAAAACACTCTATGTACAGACAAACCTGTGCAATTGGAAAAGTTTACAGGCCTAGCATCCACTAGATATATAGAAGCTAAATGCATTTTGTGTTCTTAGCCTGAAACATTAAATATTCACAGTCATGACAGTACTTACCAGTAATCCTCATTCTTAAGGCCTGTTGGGACTACGTGTCAGTAGTGTGAAGAAGAAAAAATAAACAGGGGTCAAAATGCTAAATATTTTACAATAATGTTCTGGTACCAAATATATATATAATTTTTTTTTAAATTTCAGCTCTTCTAGAGATATCCAAATTGTTGAACACTGGTTTGGATGCAGAGCAGTTGGCTACATGTGTAAGATTATGTGAAAATGGTGTCAATCCTCAGGCTCTAGCTTTAGTGATACAGGAATTACGGAGGGAAACGGCCAATATCAGGGTAGGTTATTTCCTCAACGTACCTGTAGGATTACCGGTTACAGAAAAGAGATGTCAATATCTTAGGGAACGACCATCTAACTTCAAGGGAGGGGGGTTATGGTTTTTTCCTAAAAAAATATTCTGATCCCCAATTTGATGAAAAAAAATATTGTGGTCAAGCAGATAACAAAAAAAAATATTCTGAATCTAGATTTTCCCCATACCTTATAGTGTTATTTTGAAAAAAATTATTTGATTGATAGCATTGAAAAACTAAAAAAAGTTTGTTTTTCGCGAAAATTTATTTTTGACTCGGACAATAAACCATAACCCCCCCCCCCCCTTGAAGTTAAATGGTTGCTCCCTTACCAGATAAGTCATTGAAGGTTATTCAAAAAATCTAACCTTTTGACTGGAGGACTTTATCAAGGAAAGTTGACTGCCTCAGTTGTCTCGTGTTAGCGTGTTCGCCTCGAGTGTGGGAGGTTGTGGGTTCGAACCCCCACTGGGTCAAACCAAAGAATAAGGTAAAGATTTTAAAATTGGTATTTGCTGCTTCTCAGCTAAGCATTCTGCAATAAGGAGTAAGAGCAAAGACTGATCAGCTTGTAGTCAGAATAATGTGTCCGGGTAAGGTGACATGTCTTCCTGTGGATATTACCTTGTGAACTAGCACTTTAAAAATCCGGCTCAGCTTGTCCGTCTAGTATATAAGCAGGGTTATATTCATATTACATTAACATGTTCTCGTCCTGAATATGAATATTAATTTGCTGCTGGACATTAAGCAGCCATCCATCAATATCATCTAGGAAAGCTGTTACCGGACATAAAGCATTAAATTACATCATACTCATAGTTGTCACTCAGTTATGACTTGCTAACTCTTTTGAAAACCCTGGACAATAATGATGATACGTTGGTTCCAGTGAACAATCTGGAAATACATTTCCATCTCTTTTTCTAGAACTGCTGTGCCAATCTGAACATAACAGTGCAGATATAATGTATGTCATGTACCAGGACTGTCATCCATAAAATATATAATTTTTGTCAATTTTCAAAATTCTTTCTCTGAAGAAGTAAAACAAGGCAAGATCCTTTCAAACTTTATAGCAATGATGGTAAGGAATCCTCATTTTATATTGATCTGTTGGCATTTACTCTCTTTTTTTTTGTACCATTTTTCTTTTAGAGGTTGGATATACTAAAACGCATAACCCTAAATACTAATATTAAGTGAAACAAAGTTAAGGGACTTGAAATAACATGTATGATATAAGGAACTATGATGGTTTATATACATGTACGTGATATACAGCTTTTGTGGAATAAATGCAGATTCAAAACAAATGTTTGAACTTAAAAATGTGGGGCTTAGTATTGACCCCTCACCAGCCTTCACACCAATTCGCCTTGCCAAGTGCAACCTATGGTAGTATAGGTATATAAATAAATACAAAGAACTATTTCTTATAAACATGATAAAACAAAACAGTACAGATTCTTAGTTGAATTAGTTGTCGTTACTTGAATTTGAGATTTAATGAATATTTGTATCTATATTTCACTTTTTTTTCTGCAGAAATCCAGTTGACAGTGTCTCCAGATACATGTATAACTCAATTATAAAAAGAACATTCATATTGAAGAATAAATTGGACTATCAGAAGAATTACAGTTTGTGACAAGGAAAACATTTATTACTTATTTTGCCTGATTTTCAATGTACATAACCATATTGTAAATAATGTAAATAAATGTAATTTTATCCCTGAAACATGTTAATCATTCAAAACTCATTCAGTTAGTAATGTGAATGGACGTAAACATGGTAGATGTGTGGTATAAGTAATGTGAATGGACGTAGACATGGTAGATGTGTGGTATATACTTTAATAAGACAGCAACCCAGATGCAATGACACAAAATACCAAAAGCCACTTTATATAAATTTAAGCTCTGACAATATTCACTTTTAGCAAACTGTGGCATTGAATTTCAACTTTATCATAAAATATAAAGAGTTCCCAGTTTGGTCTTACCGGTAAATGGTTCTATTTCAAAAGCCTCAATGCTTAAAACAACTCTAATCATATTTGTACATTATACTAATTTATAGGCACATTTGGAGATGTTGTCAAAATACAATGAATTTTTTGCATTTTTAGGAAAACTGTTGCCACAACCTTTGATTCATAATGTTTTGTAACCAAAATGAGCTTGGTTTATATTGAATCCTTAGACACAAAAGTTATCTGGATCAGGGATGGCAGCCAAAGTAAATTATGCTAAAAACTGTTATAATTTATGGAAAAATTAGACCAAAATTGACATTGCAACACAAATAATGCATACTTAAGGGGCCATAACTTAGTAATCTATAAAGTGAGTTGCCAGAAAGAAGTTTTTTTGTCTTAATAGTTATACCACAACTATTTCTTTGTGAAATTTGTAGTATGTTGGCCTGATTAAAAAAGATTAATTATGATTTCATTGATTTTCAGTTCAAATAAATTCACAGCTAATGCAAAATGGGAATTATAATGATGAAAATGAGGTCAAGGTAATTCCTGACAGACAGACATGTGCACTGTACAATAGTTCCTTAGACAAAAGTGGTAGACCTAGCATCTGCCAAACTACATGTAACCATGAAATTTAAAGTTGGGGCAAGGACAAGAGGACCTGTTGGTCAGTCATACACACAGTTCTATAGAGTAAATAAAGTTGAACTGCAGTAGCTATCAATGCAACTACTCGGCAGATATTGACACCTTACAACTATTCTATAGACCAAATATAGTTGACTTAAAACTAAAAGTGAGTGAGAAAATTAATCAATGAAAGGAGTAGTAATAATTTTCTCTAAATTTGTTTCATACCAGTATAAAGATAAGGAGATGTGGTATAATTTTTCAATGAAACA